TGCAAATTCTTCAGGTGGGCCGACTGGGCCGACAAGGAGTATGTTTCTATGATATCCCAACTGGACACCGCTGCTCAGAGTTCGTCGATATCAAAATTTCAAAAAACGCATATGGTTCGAGTGCTTCCATTTCTACTGCATCATAGTCAGACAATTTTGCTCAGGGTTCTGAAGTGTCAGAGCCGGGCAACATGAGCCGTGATTTGCTACTACATTTTAAAGTCAACGTTATTATTTTTTTCGTTATCATTTTGACGTGTTATTATTTTTTTTTTTTGGGATCTCATTATAGTCCATATTAATATGTAGAGGTGCATTTTACTTTTGTATGCATAATTTTGCTCGTTTTATGCGATCAAATATATTTAAGTTATGTAAATGTAACTCCACTTATTTGTATTGTCTTGTCTTAACATTTGATCTTTAATTTTGTTGATAAAATAACTAATTCTGCAACACAAATTATTAATTTTAATAAAAAATTTTCAAATAAGCTGTTTACAAAACACACGAACCAAACAACTCAACAACTTATTCAGAACAGGGGCAGATTGATCATTTCTCCAGAATCAGCTGCTCTCAAAACACACTAACCAAATAACCAGTAGGATTATCATGATAAGCTGCCCATCAACAGATTATCATGATAAGCTGTTTATCAGCAGAAGCTGGATAAGCTGCAGCTGGCCCAATAAGACCCTAAATTTTTCGAAAAATATTTATGATTTATTATATATATAGACTCACACTAACACACACACACACACTATTTATAAAAAAGATATCAATTCTCCAATTTCGGACGTATACGGTTTCGTTTTCTTATTCCCGACCGAAACGGGAAAAGAGGCACGGTTTCATTTCTACTGCACGGAACAGAGCGAATCTGTAGCGAACCCCTTTCTCTGCCACAGAAAGCGTTAAAGGGCGCTTACCGCTTCAATGGCATCTCTTGCTATCTTCAGAGCTCTAAGAAATCGACGCTTCTCTTCAATTTCTCCTTCTGCAATACCTTGCTCTCGGTCGTTCTCTAGACTTGTAAGCGTCTTCAAAACTTCAACGCTGACTTATGGTTATCATATATTACCTTTATTGGTTATTCGGCCTGTATTGAAGCGGACAGCGTGGTAATTCTAGTAGAATGCGCTTGGATAGACAGCTGATGAACGCTTGTGAAGCACAATTGGTTGCATGTTTAGAAGATACTATGGGTTTCTGTTACGATGGTAGAAAATGTGGTTTGGAGACATGGGCAAGGGAAGTATATGTTATATTGCTAGAAATGGGGAATGACCTTGAAAATTTATTTGGATAGAACGGCCACCTAAAAATGCATAGAGAATCTGTTACTTTCATGTCTATTTTCCGTTTAATTTCGAGAATGTACTTATGTACACTAGGTTTTTAAACCTTGGCCATGCAATTTAATTTGAAGAGGTTGGGATTGATTTCACCTTTCCTTATTGAAATTATTCTGATTGGGGTGTTTTAATGAATAGCATGGTTGGGATGTGCAGCTGCCCTTGTACAATTGTCGTGATATTAGAGAGGATAAAGAATGAATTCAGGTTGTGATAAAACAATTATGGTTTAATTCATGCATGATCTATTAAATCTTGTAATTTTTTTTTTAGCATATCCTGCAGCACTTAAATACAAAAAATTATTTGACATGATAGATGTTAAATCGGATTAAATCATTGTAAATTGTTGCCATATATTTTCAAAATTTACGATTGGAATATGGAAAATAAGAGTTGCAATGAGGAGAAGTGGTATAAATCTCTTAAAATTTAGTTACATGAGACTACTAAATTTAGGATATATCCTAAAACAAGAAAAAAAGGGGATTTTAGAAGATGTTATGATTTATGCAGCTCAAAACTGTAAGAAAAGATTTAGTTTAAGCTAAATCTAGCAATTAAACAGCCTTTTCATGTTCTTAATGAGAATCAGGTTGTGTTTGATAATTTGTTGGACTTCAAATGAACATCATGCTTACATTTCGAATGCTTCATATATATCAAGTAACTTTGGCTGCTTGTGTTGGTTTTTATTTTGTTAATAAAAAGGGAGCACCTATTGCTTGAGGCTTCCAAGTAATGTGAGTTATGTAGAGGGATTTTTGTGTGTGGCTACTTTTATTATTGACAGTCTCAAGGCTGTCTTAGAAGATTAAAGGTTGCTGGTAGGTCATCAATCAATTATGTAATTTTAATAATAAAAAATTAAAAAATCATGAAAACTAATAAAATCAATGAAATAAATTCAAATTTAGTTTTGTTAATGCTAGGTTGTTCTCAGAAGTAAAACATCACAACCTAAACGAATTGTAGTTAGAATTATGCAAGGTTTCCAAGGTCGTTATCTATATTTCATGCATTGCAATGTAAGTTGAATATGGTAAAAGGAAAGCAAGGGTTGGCTAGGACATCACTTGTAAGTGACTTGCCACAATGGAATCTGATTCTGGTGAAAAGCTAGCCAATTATTGGCTAGAAGGTTACCCGCATCACATCTTAACTCAATTTTGGTGAAAGTATGCATGGGTTATTAATCATTGTGTTTGTTGCTTTGAAGTATTGGAATAAGAATGTTAGGACAAGAGAATTAGTGGACACATTGATTAGAAGAAGAATACATATATAAAGTGGAAAATCCATGCCCATTTCAGAATTTTTGTTTATTTTCTTATTTTTAAGGATAAAAAACTTATCCCAAATTTTTTTATTAGTTAAAGTAGAGTAAAAAGCTGACAATGTATTAGTGAACACATGGTCCATTATAAATAAAGGGGATATAAAACCACTTATCGCCCAGATTCTGTACTCGGAGATTGTGAAATGAGGTTTAAAGAAGGTCATAGGTTAGACTCAAACTTGTGAACTCTAGCATGGATACTATGCAGCATACTCTTTAAAATTGGTTGCACAAAATTTTTTTGGAACTGGTAGGAACTTGCTTTGAACAAGGAAATTGATTTTTCAATGGAGCACTTAATGAATTTCACTTATTTGTAGACATGTTAAAAAAATGCTAACCAGTTTGCCCTTTTGTATATGTATAAAAATAATTAAAGGGCTGTCTGTGAATGCTGGGCTGATTTTTTTTTTTTGGCTGTAGTTGACAATAAAGGTTGGAAGGAGTGTTTGTTTGTGGTATGGGGAGAGGAAGATGGAATTAGGGAGTGGACTTAAGAGCATTGGAATTTTTTTTTTTTTTCCGCTTGACAAACTCAATCCAATAAGGAACAACCTTAGCTTTCACTCCAAAATTTAGGAATAACTGTATCCTTTCTAAACTAACTTCATAAAAGATCGAAATTTAATTGAAAATAAAATCTTATCAAAAACTTGTTTAAAATTCAAAAGTCATTGTTATTCTACTATTATTATCACCATCCAACAATACAAATTTTTTATATCTTGATTTTCATCAACTATTCAATTGAAAATCCTCCATTGCCTGTGGATTTTTGATGGCTTGGTCTTTCTAACCTTTTGATTTGAAAATTTATTTATAAAATCATGCCGGATCACAACACCCCATTACAACTTATTACTTTTATTCTTGGGTTCATAATTTTGTTGTGTAATGGTCATCCTTTTAAAAAATATTGTGGATCCTAACTGGTATGTAGTGGTGTAAGCGAGCTCAAGGCTTGTTTGTGTTCGGCTCGTTTGAATTTTTGTTGTTTGTGTTCGGCTCGTGTTTGAAATTGCTCGAAAATAGCCTATCGTATTCGACTCGATGAGTTCAAAATATGTTTGAAATAGACTCGTGTTTGGCTCGTTAAAATCGACAAGCTTATTTTTACGTTTAAATTTTAATTTTCAGAGCTCCATTTACCTTTTAATTAGAACTTAAAAGGGGATTCTTCACTTCTTACAGATGTGTGATTAAAATGAAGAAGGGGTGGGGCTGAAAAAAAAGTGGCAGGACCATGGGAGTTGTGATAGCAATAGGGCTGTCAAAAAAGGAAAATGACAACAAAAATTTTGAAACTTGGGTGGTTGAGGCGGGATTTTAGCAAATTTAGATGGCCTTTTACATACATAATACCCATTTTTTCGTATTTACATTGTCTAAACTAAATAAAGAAAACACAGAAGTGGGATTTGTAAAAAAATTATGGGCATTTACATACATACCGCCTAATCTTATGTATTTATAGATCTAACATCTAAATTTTGTTTATTATAATTATACAAATAAATTTTTTGATGTCATATTAAGTATACAATTATTTTAACTTTTATGTTTTATTTATTTATTATTTAAATATTTTGGCTCGTTTATAAATCGAGCTAAAAGAGTTTTTCGTGTTTGACAAACGAATCAAATACAAGCTATTTAACGAACCGAACACGAGTTGTTCGCGAAGGACGAGCTTTTTTGACAACCCAACTGGTATAATACTGTTTTATATTTTTCAACAGGAAGAGAGCTCTTGACTCCGTGTTGGAATCCTTTGGTCTTATGTTATTACCATTTCGTCTAAAGATGGAACAATTAAGTGACTATACTTTTTTTCTTTTTTAATAAGCACAAATTTATGTTGCTTCTTATGAAATATATCATCCCTATTCCATACATATGATTTACCGAGAATTAAATGACACATTTAGTGGTATAAATTGACAAACTATCCCATCAATAAAGCATACGAATGTTGTGTAGTGCTAACTCTCATTTCTCCCCCAAAGCTATCGATATAAGATTTTTTTCACCATATGAAATCCAATAATGACATTAATTTTGGTTGATTTCACCCAAAGGTTAAAATGGAATAGTTCTTCCTTGAGAGTATACAGTTAAGTAACATTACGCATTTGAAATCAACTCAAAAATTAAAGTTTTGAATACTGAGTAGTGATTAACCCTAGTCTCAAATAAGGTTACAGAGGTAAAGTTTTTTTCACTATCTAGTTCCAGCATGGCATCAATGATGTAAAATCCACTTGAAGTTTCAGGTGGACTAATTCTTCCTAGCTTCCTTATTAGTACTTGGATGCAATATCAAGGACAGCAAAATTTGAATTTGTCACTCCTCTTACCTTAATCCTTCTGAAGTTTCTCTTCCCATTTTGATCTTTTTTATGAATATGAATTCATGTAATCCTTAAGCTATTGCCTGTGTTTTGTGTAATAGCGACACAATGGTGTATTGTTTTACTGCTATGCTATTTTTGTGCAGTGGAAAATATTTTGGCTCTACTTAAGTGCTATAGCTTTTATGCTGACTTTGATGGTATCGATAATTAGAAAAACTTAAATTATATGTGATGGCTTTTATGAAGCCTTCATAGTTTAGGAGCACATTTTTTTCTTACAACAACAACAACAACAACAAAGCCTTAATCCCACTACGTGGGGTCGGCTACATGAATCCTTTTTCTCCATTGCGTTCTATTTAGTGTCATATTTTCATTTAGTTCTAATAAATTAAGATCATTTTTTATACAATAAGCCCAAGTCTTCCTAGGTCTACCTCTGCCTTTTTTAACACAAGTCGAATCTAAAACATCTACTCTTATAATCAGATCATCAGATGGTCGACGTTTAATGTGACCAAACCATTTAAGACGAATTTCTCTAATTTTGTATGTCACAGGAGCTACACCAACCCTATCACAGATATATTCATTTCGCATGTTGTCTCTAAGTGTAAAGCCACTTATCCACCCAATCATTCTCACCTCGACAACACTTATCTTATTATTATGCTTTTCTTTTAAAGGCCAACATTCAACGCCATAGAGCAATACAGGTCTTACCACCGTCTTATAAAATTTTCCTTTCAGTCTAAGCAGTTTTTTTCTATCAAGCAAAAGGCCCGGAGCATTCCTCCACTTCAACCAAGCAACTTGAATTCTACTATTAACATCCCCATCTATATCACCATCGCTTTGAACAACAGACCCAAGATATCTAAATCGTTCACACTTTTTAATAATCTGATCACCCAAAGTCACACTGCTGTCTCTAGAGCTACTACTACTAAAATTACATTCCATGTATTCAGTTTTAGTTCTACT